TTATCACATTAAGCGGACGACTTTCCACAATTTTTTACTCTTTGAATTATGATCTCTTCAAACAATTGTAGCGCCACCGCTGACCAGTTTTTTTGCTTAGCACGAAGACATCGCCACCTTTTAAAATATGGCAACCTTATGGCTCTAAGAACACAGGTGAATATCGTAAGTTCGATCCCCGCTTGGGTCGCCCGGATGCATTAATTCTACTCGTTTTATAATCAGTTTAGCGTCGTAATTGGTTAAATTGCACGTTTTGTTTGGTCATTGCCGTGTATGGGCGGACGCAGTATCTTCCAATAGCTTCTAATTTACATTAAATTTTAATGGACACGTGGAAATAGCACGAGCGTTTATTAATATCATGTTATCAGATTTTGGTTATTAAGCGCTTCATTAGACTAATATGTGCTAAATTTCAATATCTAAAAGCAATAGATACATGTTTTTCTTTACAAAGCAAACAAATAAATAAGCCTGCTCTCCAACTTAATGTGAATAAGTATATTGGGAGGCGATTCCTAATATAACATTTTATTTTCTTCAGACCGTAGTACACGTATAAACACACAACCACCTCCAACAAAACTAAAACTTATTGATAAACTAATAACATGTTTTTAATGTCTACGGAAAAGTAATAAAAACAAGATTTAATATCTAACAAAGTATGGTGACTTTAAACTATCCATCTACAAGCGCAAATTGCGATCGTAATATGAATAGGTATTGCTTCCATAAAACCATACGCAACTTTGTTAACAGCATTAATTAAATATAGAGTGAGCCGCTTATATGAGAACAGAAAAACCTTAAAACCTGAAGACACGTACTGAACTGAACATAATTTAACTTACAATTTAAGTATGTTACTAGCATTGCCCGCGGCTCTGCCCGCGTTCAGATGACCAAAAACCAAATTCTTAGGTTTTACATATTAGTATACTCTTACAATGCAATTTTTGTATTTTTTCTCAGAAATGAGATATTTTCCAAAAAATATTTAATGTACAGATTCGGCTTAGTTACAATTTTATTATATGTATAGATTTGCTCAAAGTAATTATTTTGAAAGAAGTATTAATAAAAACTGAAGGTTTTAAAGACTAGCTACATAATATAACATAAAAATTTGAGTGTGAATTTGTTGTTAGAAAAAATTGCTAACAATAAACATGTACTAAATAGAATTTAACTTAAAGGCTAAATAAAGTGCGGTAAAACCTTGTCCGTACATATGTTAAACTCTTCCCGTCCCATTTCTCATTTGACTTACCCACATATTTTATTTATTCTTATGCATGCATGTACGCTTATGCAGTGTGCGCTAAATGTTAGTTTTGGTTTATTTTCATTTCTTTTGACAAGGCAGCTATGACTGCCAACGTACTTAAATAAAAAGAGTAACGGCCGCAATTACTACCGCTCCTCGGAAACTGTAAAATCTTGGCTCGAAATTATCGTTCTTGCGCGTTTGTTCCTGAAATGTTGCTATCCTAGATTCTCATAGCAATATATTAAATAAGAACGTTTAAAACGAATTCTGTATTTTTCGAACCATAAAAAGGATTTATTTGACTTAAAATTATAAGAGAAACTTAACGAAAAGCATATAAAAATTTAAATGACATCATTATACCTAGCAAAATTAAGTGTAGGTATAGTATGCCGTTTTATAAGTAAAGTCACAGGTAATAACTCGCAAGTTAAATTTCCCCCTATTCTCCACAGCCTAGCCAATGTCACGATCTGAGCACTATTTACCTAGTATCGGGTAACGGCGCGGCGGCAACACGGTTGACTCTCGCTACCAATTGAGCTTATTGGATTACATTAAAGCCAAAACACATATAAAAACCTATTACTTCATTCTTTTATACGGCTCCAGACTTATAATTTAAACATATTTAACGTAGAAAATAATTTCTACCATCTTTGGATCCATGAAAGTAATGTTTTTTCTATTTTATTTATCTACAATAACATATAAAGTTGAAGAGTTTCTTGTTTTTATTTGAACGCGTTAATATCTGACGAAAACCAGTCCAATTTGGAAAATTCTTTTTGCATTTGATATCCATTGAGATATGTTATCTAACATTACGCTGCTCCCCATAGAAGCGAAGCAATTATACATATTATATAAACCATTCGAGCAGAGCGATGGACAAACGTTAGGAAATATAGTACGTATTAATAATTAAGGCATATTTAAAGTTAATTTGGTTCTATCCTACAATAAGAAAGAAGATTCGATACCTGAAAGAGACTAATATTTACAGAAATGGAATTTCCATCATAAAATGAATTATTATAAAGAGTATCAAGTAAATACCTATATATTATAAAAAATACTACATAAATAATATAAAGAAATCCAAGCTTGTTATGTAAAGTTTGTGAACGAAACAAACATAGACCAGACCAGACCAAAGTCACGACCTGAGCACTATTTACCTACACAGTATCGGGCAGCGCGGTGACGAGATTGACTCGAGCTACCAACCTAGCTTATTCGGTTACGTTTCAGAATAACAAAACACGTAGAAAAGTACTATCGGCACGTATTAGTTGCTTATATTACAACGCCAATCTCAGATGTTCAGGCGATAAAGAAATAAAATGTCTATTTAAGAGTGTATATATAATAGAAAAAGTTATATTACAAATGGTATTACATACATATATGTTCATTGTTCACGTACCACATATTTAATACACGTAATACACACAAAACAACAATAAGTTATGTCCTTTACGCTTGACTGGTGTCAGGGAAAACTTTCTATGTGTTATACTTTAATATTTTTTACTTTAATGTAGAGCAAATAAAAAAATATAAAACAACTTTAGATCTAGTCATCTTAAAAAGTTAATATTAGGAGATGATAATCTATATGTATAGTAAATATTATTGAGACAAAATTTGTTTTTTTTTTGTATGTTTTTATGTTTGTTTGTAATGAATAAACTAAAAATCCGCTGAATCGATTTAGATGAAATTTGGTTGAAAGATAGATAGAGAGAGACCCTAGGAAGAACTAAGGATAGTTTTTATCCCAAAAATCACTTAAGGTGGTAAAAAGGGGGATGAAAGTTTGTACAGGAAATCAATCATTTTTTATATAGGGATATAAAACTCTTAACTCATCATACCTATTACTATACTAATATCTAGTATATCTATTCCACACTAACCGTCAAAACGTAGGTACCTAGGAACGAACCCGAGCGAAGCGAAGATTAGTCGCTAGTTTGATATCAATAAGATGAATAGAATCCAGAATATAAAAAATAATAACAAACCACTAACATGTCTCTATAATATGATACTAAATAAAAAATAACAAAATGGACAAGTGATAGTAAGAACGCTTAGCATTAATTTACTTCGGGCAACATTCAATAAATATTATAATAAATTTATCTAATGGCTACTGCTTGCATCATATAAAAATATAACTTGATTAGTAAACCAGACATGACGTAAAAAGCAAAATAAACAAACACAAAAATACACTAAAATACATATGAATGAATAAAAATGCACGCATCTATTTTTTTTCTGTGAAATAGCAAAATAATAATCTACATCTCGATGAATAGGTACTGACAACAGATATTAGATCTAATGTGGAGATGATAAGAATCAATTTTCTGTGCATTACCGCGCAAGTCGACATTGTTGACAAAGGAACGGCGTCATGCATTATGCCGACTAAATCATTAATAGCTGTTAAGTAAATTATTATGTAAACTCGGATTGTTTGGTATTAACACCGGATTTGTGTTCCCATTGTATTTGCTTTTAGCAAAAAAAAAATTGTACAAATACTGCCAAAATACATCGAATCGTATCATAAATCTATCATATTATTTTAATAGCGAGTCGAATCTGTACATTAAATATTTTTTGGAAAATCTTATTGAAATAGTCATTATTATTGATACAGAGGCCGAATCTATAGTTTTTAAAATTTTTGTTTGTCTGTCTGTCGGTCTGGGAACGCATCACGAGAAAATCACAGGACAGATTTTGATAAAATTTGGTATGATGATAGCTGGATATCCGGGTCAACATATAGGATACTTTTTACTGCGGGAGAATATCTCATCACTGAGAAAACTATACTAAACGTTAAAACGTAACAAGGGACAAACCCCAACGGAGCGAGGGTGAGCCGCTAGTTAACTACATATATGACTAAAATAAAATTATCACGAAATAATCGAGTAACAAGAAAATAATGTAAGCAAAAAACGAGATCAGAATTCAGAGAAAGGTGTTCATTAATCAAGATTATTATAAACAAAGAAAACTTAGAACTTATGTAATTCCTATATATACATATAATGTAAAAATCTTAGCGAAGACAAGGTTTTACACAGACTAATTTTTAATTAATGAATGTTGAGATAATATTAAAGTCAAAAGACAAATAAATGTACGGTGGTAACGTACAGAATAAAATATCTGCAAAGATCTGAACAAGAAATATGAACAATAACTTATAATAATCGTTAAACATGTCGTCTAACGCAATAGCCCAAGGCTGCAATGAAAGTGGAAATACAGGCGTAAAAATACAACTTTCTTTGATCGTCCGAAGGGCTCTCCCGTAATTGATTTCGTTATTTTATTACACGATTACAACGCACTAAGTTTAGTTCTGAGTTTATGCTCCATAAAACATAAACATACCGCGGTTATTGTTTCTCCTCGCCTACATTGTACAGAGCTATTTCTAAATATTATAATATATAGATTTTTCTATGTATAAATATTGAAATAGCCACAATTACAAAATTAAGTTTTATTACTAGGTATCATATTACATGTTATTAAAATTCCGTAAGATTTCATAATTAACGAGAATATACTTTTGTGAGAAATACCACTACTAAGATTTACACGTATGTATTAAGAGTGTAGACTAGATACAGGGTCGCTGATTCAAAATAACATAACAAATGATTATTTATAAGAGAATAATTCTTACCCGACGCCTCCGTTCAGGGCGGTGGCCACGCTGGGTCTCTCATAGCACATATGCATACCAGCAATCCCTTTAACTTTATTACCACTGAACGAAATCTTGAAAGAGTTTTCAGTACACACACGAAAATAATCCACCTGATACACTTCACTTTATCCTATCATTCGTTTTAATCTACACCACGTACGAACATTTTCCTCGGGACGGATCGTTCGCGTTCATCAACCGAGACACAATCCAAGATGGTTACTGTGAAACAAATTTTCCATTAGACTCGGTACTCTAAATCGATGTAAACTAATCTGTTGACGGTTAATATTCATGTCGTGTCACGCTTTATCGCTTGAATCAAATTAAATTCATATTGATTTCGTTCATACCTTTTCTATCAGCAAAAAACCCCTCTCATACAACCTATTATACTTGCCAAAACTTCGGAATTAGGGCGAAATTAATTAACAATTTGAAGCTAAAATGATTTAATTCAAATTATAAAAGTTGTTAAAATATAAGTAAATTCAAATTCAACATTTTCCGTCTCAAAAGTTAACTTTGTGAACGCGTATTTAATTTACAAGGAAACTGTAGACCGTAAGTAGCTAGAAGTGGCAGAGTATGTAAGAGCGAGTGGCAGCATCATATATAACGTCACAGGTAAAGAAAATCACGTAAGCACATTTGTTTCGACGTAGCACGCAACGCGACGCTATAGTTACCAAATATTTCAACTCGATTCTACAAGATTGATGGCCACTATCATGCGAAATAGCACCTTTCTGCACGCGCCCGCATTATTCGTGTTCAATTTTGTGATGAAAATCACACTTTTCATATTTTTTTTCACCGAAAATAGCTGTAATTAATTGCTGTGATTAACTGATATAATTTGAGGCAATTTTCATAAAAGTTAATCTAAAAAATATCACAGAAGAGTAAAAAACTGGATTACTTAAGAAATTGTTTGTGACAGTGGATTGAGATTGAAGAAAAAAAATGGTCCAACGATCTTCAAAGATAAAACGTGATCTTAATTGAAGGCGCAATGATTGTTTGGATTTTCCGGTCGACCGATGATTAATTGCGGCGCTCTACGCAAATACTTTTTGCCTTATTTTACGAACACGCGGTAAATAGAATGTGGCGGTTTTCGCAAGGGTCATGACGAGCCATTACGCGGATGTTTTCGTGGGTGATGGATCGGCGTTAGCCTAAACACATTTTATGGAGTGCGAACTGATATATTAAGAAAATTAGGATTGTCACAAAACCCTTGTTGAATTTAAATTAAAAAAAAATCACATTCGCGTGATTTTCGAGTGAAAGTCTTACAAATCAAGTTTAAAATACAATGAATGCTAGTGCCGAGACGTCGCGTCGTAATTAAAAATGTCAGTCAAGGTTTTTATAATTCTCGGTGTTACGAGGAAACGTCTATTAGAGCCAAATCTTGCCCGTGCCACATTTCAAATACATTAACCCACTTTAAACCGAGGTCGGTCTAACCACCTTGTCACTAGATTTGATGATAGCATCTTACCTACTCGTAACTTTTAATCACATATCAACCATTCTGTTCAGTCTTTATTTAATGGCTTTATGATTCTGAAAAACTATTGTAATTCAACTGTCATAATAACCTCGTATTACGAGTTTAGTTGATTTCCTCAGAAATGGAAGCAAGTATAAAAACAAACTGTTTTACAAAGGAATGATGATGATTCATTGTTTAGCTTTTACTCAAAATTATTATTAATAAACTACTGAAGTGTGCTTAGTCAGATATACTTTACAATATAGGTATACATTGTACATCTATAATGCAAACAAAGCGGAAATATTTTGAAAATACTTAATTCAATAAAGTATAACTGTACAAGTCTTGTACAGTCTGAACTTTAAATAAATTACGTAATCTTCATAGCGACTTCTTTGTTCTAAATTTTTCACAACCCTGTTTACTTGCGCATATTTTAACGTAAACCTTTTGTATAATCATTATTTGTTTATGGCTTTATATTATGACAGTACAATTACGATAGTAATAAATATCAAAACATTTTTTTATATGAATAACTTAACGGCGATAACTTTATTAACATAATGTTATTATCAATGTGTTTTTGTTTTTCGTTTGTACCTATTTATATTATAGTAAATTATGACGTATAGTATTAACTCTTGCACATTTTAATCTTCCTCTAGAAATTATTCGGGTAAGTATTATAATGGGTGGGGCTAATTTATGGTACACTTAATGGTGTTGACACTATATAATTATGCATACCATTTAACTTATATCATTATCACAATTTATCTAAAATTTATTCGCACAAAATCTAATAGCATAACATTGAGTATGGACTACAAGACTTAGCCATAAATCGCATAATTTAAACTATAACCATCATAAATTTAGGAGTAAACAACCCAAAAAAATCTTATTGTCTATATATGTATGTATATATATTTAGAAAATAATGAAACCAAATAAAATAATAATAAAATGGCAACAAAACAATCTTAGTTCCAGCGATCGAGCGTCACGCGTGAGTCAACAATCGACATGATGGGCGCATCCTTACAAAAAAAAAACACTATTCCATATCCAACACTGCAATCCAAGTGTTCGAGTCACAGATTTCACTGCGACTCGTGTACTAGTACCCGCCAAAAGTGGTTCCACTTTACAATGACACGTCCACACTATGGACAGGCGAGTGCGCGACTGGCGCGCCGCGCGGGGCGCGACGTGCCGCAGGTTATCGTGAGTCGACTACACAGATAATGATGTCAAAAGTGGATCGGACTAATGCTCCATTATGTTGTAAACGTTCCAAATCCGATGTAGCGACCTTTTTGCATACACACTGTATCCTAAATTAGATTAAACTAAATCCTACAAACAATATAATTTGTATAATTGTTGTTTATATTTTTTTAGAAAAAAAAAATAACAATTTTATACTTAATTGGTTTTAAAATATAGAATAAATTTTATTTGTTGTTCGGGGAACGTCGCTTTTGGAATACATCAAAGGAAAACAAAAGCCATATATATATCAACGTAACTCGATGCGTTCCGAATTGTATCAACAAAGAAGAAGGTATCACTCCTTGAAATGAGCCGGGCGCCGCTTTTAGAGACCGACTGTAAATTTGATGTCCCATGACCATTTACGACAAACAAAAATTGACCTTAATACAAAATCGCACGATTTCGAATTCGATCGGTGTTTTGTGTAGCATTCTTTCTTGGTGAGATCGAAAATCGTTGATATTAGAGTGACGAGAAGCTTCAAATGTGCACCGTATTGTGATTGTTTTGAAGTCGTTTAAGCGTTGCTCGCTTACAGGCGAATGACACGTTTCGTATTCTTGAATATTATTACAAGTGAGAAACTCAATTGCGACCTTATCTTGTAGGGGTAGGATTCCTTTCGCTTTCCCCGACACGTAGCTGCGCGTATTCCCATTTAGCAAGACGCTGTGTGGCTCTCTATATTTTGGTCGGATTAAGGAGCGTTCTTCGTTTGATGAATGTATCAAGTCCGTTGAGGTTTTTGCGGTGAGTTTCGTGAAGCGGCCGTGACGCGGGGAAGCGGAAAATATGTTTTTTCGCATATTAAGTTCCAACATAAACACCATTAGAGTTTATCAAGCGGTGAGAATACGCGTCAAATGTGCAATCCCAGTTTTAAAGGACATCAAAACGTTTAATTCATCACACTCACGGCATAGTTACTCATGTTTATTACTCTAAATTGTGTACGAAACTCGGCACTAAAATAAACTCTGACATCAATTAGCATATGCGCGAAGTGCAGTAAACTGTCGCAATAAATTAATCTTGTTAAATAGTTCTAATGTATACCTAGGTCATTACTTTCTTCTGGTGTATGATCGCAAATCACTAATAGCTAATGAATATCAAATGAGATGCAGCATCCTAGCAGAAGAATTCTCTTATTAGCTATTAAACGAATTCCACATACAACTAATACGCGGTGACCCAAATTTCATGACAAGTGGAGCGGTGGCCGGCGCGGAAATAGGTGGATGATCCCAAGGGAGTCGCGCGGGGGAAATTTAGGACCAACAGGGGAAACACTTTCTGCTAGCTTCACATTACATTACTGTTTATATCTTAACTACGAATAAAGTGAAATGTCAAAATTCTAACATTCAAATAACGAAATATACTCCATTAACGACTTAACCTCACTTTGTCCAGGTGTGGTCTTAGGTTGCCCCCAACGTGCGTTCACCTTGTCGTGGTGGGGGGCTCAGTATATCCAGCAATCCAGCCGGGCGCGAAGCCAAGAAAGGCACTGGGAGGTGGCCCACTTCGGTGGGCGGTATACCATGCGGGTTGCTCCTGGTACTTCTCTGATAGCAGAGTGGACTGTGCAGCAACCCCATGGTTGTTGTGGTCTGCTTCGTCAGACCTGTCGTCGGGGCGTCGTGGTTGAATGCGTAAGCCATCCTGGGACGCCCCATTAAGACGGGGGGAGCTTCCGTTGGGTTTTAGTGGGTAGTACTGGCTTTGCCGATGAGTCCCACACTTTGTGCCTAAATGCATTTCCCAACGTTAAAAAAAAGATGTGGCCTGAGGTGACTAACTAAAGGTCTTAATCTAGACCATAGTCTATCTGTGTACTTTTCATCAAAATCTATCTAGCCATTTTAATGTGAAGAAAGAATAAACATACACAGTAAAAGTACTACCTAATCAGATTAGAGAGCGAAAACACTGAAATAAGGACTGATCAATTAATCGTAATCAGTACTTTTAAATGTGGTTAAATTATATCCGTTTGTCTTACGATTAATTATTTTAATTAATTTAGTCGCCAGGCAATTTTAGTCTCAACATTCAACGTTGTTGCGCGCGGTTCACATCCCTTGCGTTTCAGACGTCTCACTAGATCTTTTGTTGATGGTACCTTTTATTCTACCCTTCTGCCAGGCAGGTGCAACTGGTATTTGGGTAACATTTAGGATATTTCTCACGGGATACACTTACTTACATATTTGAAGCTTTTTAATAAATTGCTTACGAATAAATTCTATAAAATTGTATTTTAACATATTTAACATTTGTTCGAGATATTAAGTCATTTCGTTACTAAAGATGTAATAAATAAAATCATATCGTGTCTTTTCCATTCTACGTGACATTGGCAAACTAATTTGTGCTCAACTGGCACGCTTTGAAGCCATTAACAAGAAAATTGAATTGAAATTCATATCACAACCCTACGAACATAGACAAATATCTCCAGTCATTAATGCGCAAAGGAACGATTACGAGGATTAGACGGAAACGCAGTTGGACCTAGTGATACAAGTGTGCACAATTAGTTATATTCAGTTCGCAAATCCCGTCACGCTAACGACCGCGCTTTCGGCATACTAGCTTGGGTTTAGAAGTAAATAATTTCTAGATATTAGAAAATTAAATAGGATAAACGGTTTACAAATAAATATTTATAATCATTAACTTTTCATCAATTTAACTTAATAAAAAAATATATTACAAAATCAGAAAGAACTTAGGCTCTTATAATACTCGTACTTTACAATATTACGTCCCGAAACATCGGAATACTATGTATATGATGATAATTATTATATGAAATGATACTATCAAGTTTGACGAACAGGTAAATGATATATTGATTAAAAAATATTTAATGTAGTTAGGTACACAAGTATCTACGTAGCATTATAATTTTAGGCCGACAATAAAAGATCTTGTAGGTTTCCACGGATAAACCGTTTCAAACTAATAAATATACGAAGTTAACAAATACAAATAATTCAGAATCTTCGAATTGGTTACGGTTCAATGAACAGAAGAGGGCAACATGGACCTAAATTTTTCCATTATCTTCTAAATCATCAAGCGTTCATTCAATATACTACTGTTCAAATATTTCCACAAATATGTGCTAATTCATATCGCCACGATTCTTTATAGTTGAGTATTCATCGCCTTTGGGATTAATCATCATTTTATATAAACTAGGTATCGTCCATAGCTTGACTCGTACGTACTGTACGGTTTTTATTCTAGTAGAGAAAGATTTTTTGAGTGCAAGAGTTTACCCGCTCTACACAAACAAACACGTTTTACCTACATATAAAGTTAGTATTATGCATACTAATATTATAAATGTGAAAGTGTCTTTGTTTGGTTGTTTGTCTTTTATTGGATTAGCGAGATTTTTTGTGTAAAGATAGTTGGAAGGCTTGAGAGTGACATAGGCTACTTTTTACCGCGGAGATTATCTCATTCCCACGGGAAAACACGTTATAATACAACCCAAAAAAATATTTATGATCAGAATTAGGTACTTGAAACTTGCTGTTAATGCTCTTCAATATAATTAATCTCTCAACGACCGCGGACACGCCGGCGTTACAGTCAACAATAAATTTCTTAGAAATCTAATTAATTTATATATATATATATATATATATATATATATATAATTGTTTAACCATTATATTATTTGAAGTATGTACATTTAACAACAAAACTATACCAATACGCTAAAACAATATGATTAAATTAAAAAATCGTATGAGTAAATTACAGATGCACTATGTGATATTGGAAGTTAAAAATGACATGAGAATACAATAGATTTTAACTGCAGACTAAAAATATACAAAGCGAAGCGCATTTTCATCGCAGGGCGTGTGCATTTACGTATGACGTATCGCGGATAGGTACAAAAGACCTAGGGCGGGGATAAACCTTGTTGCTTCAAACATAAAGCTGGTAATGCTAAAAATATATGCACTTTTGTGGACGGCTGTACAACAAACAAAGACATCTGAATCAGGGCTGCGTTTGTTGAGAACGGGAAATATAAAGTGAGAACGATTGGATATAGGGGAGAATGATTCCGCATATTATCTCTACGACAGCCTAAAGTTTACTGCTAAACATATTATTATAGTATCTTTTGTGATAGCGAATTTGATAAAACTTTACAAAAAAGGGTGTTGATACAACATATATATTACATATACTAATATACAATATACATATATTAAGTACACATTATTATAATTATATTTCAAAACGACCAGATATTTCAGAAACGAAACATAAGAATTTCATAAAATATTATAAGCAGATACTTATATCCTATATATATATATATATATATATATATATATATATATACTTACATCATATAAAAAACAATAGCAAAAGGAACCCTAAAACCACCACCCCGCGCAGCCAGACGGAAAAATACGACGTCGTTCGGATACGATTGTTTCTCTATTCGAAATGCGAAATGCAAAGTATGAAATAATTATGGCGGCGAGAGCGACACCCCACCCTCCGTTGCAGGAATATGCCCTCAAATGTAGCAAAAAGGGACTTGTTGCTTTATCACTGTCATATTTCCACTGCGAAAGGTTATTTAATAAATGATGTTAACATTTTTGCACATTTACTTCTTTCATAATTTTTTCGCATTGATATTTTTTGTGTACACCGACGACCCTGAATACTGAATAATTTAGCGAGATATATTTAAATATAGCGTAAATTGACACAAGTGGACGCAGAAAATCTTTGTTTTTCGCAATTGTTGTGTTCGGAAATTATTATAAATATTATTATTTTTGTTTACTTTAATACAGTTATCATAATCAGTTAACATAATCTGGTAATATTTTGTTGTGTAAGGTATTGACACAGTTACTCAAAGTCAAAAATAAGGAAATAATGGTAAAAATAAAACGTTTTTATTATTAGTGTAGTTAATAATGTGATTAAATATAGTATTCAATTATAGTTTGTTTTTTACTTCTACAAGTTTTACTCTCTCAACTTTACCGCTGAACAGGCAAGGAAGATAGCATATATCCTGATTCCTCGATTAACATAGACTATTTCATCGAATGGTCAAACCTGTAAGCAGAACAAGTCGGTGTGCTTTGCTTTGTACGGGCTGGCACCGATTTCGAAAATATTTGATTAGGTATGTATTTAAAGGGTAGGCTTTAATTACTTAGCCAAAGCACACCGACTTCGAAAATATTTGATTAGGTATGTATAATAAATGAAAACTAACAATCAGTAATTTTTTACTTTTTAGTGCTTTTGTTTGAAGTCGGTTTTTATTTTTTTGTTAAAAAGTTTTTATTTTTTCCTTTTTAGTGTAGACAGTAGTAGCAAAGTAAGAATTCTAACGTGTTAGGCTTGTCAAATCAAACAAAATAAGCCTAAACTCAAAGTATCTACTATTAGCCGTTGAAGAGTTCCACCTATCCACCTTCAGGCCTTACCATCAGATCAGGTCAACAATACCGAACCACTGTACTTTCAACGGAAATAGAAACACTTGCAAAGTTTCAAATCAATATGACAATTAGGAGTAGGTTAAATTCATCATTAGCTATTTTTTCACCCTTAGGTGTGGTATTTTTTTTTTGAAATTTAAATGGGACCAATCTGGAAGTATACACTTTCAAACAACACAAAAATTGTCCAAATCGGTTAATAAATGACGGAGTTCTGAGGTAACAAACATAAAAAAATACAGTCGAATTGAGAACCTCCTCCTTTTTGAAGTCGGTTGAAAATGCTAACACTC